AGTTTGCCTGTAAGTCACATGATATGGGGTAGTAGGGGGTATAAGAGGCCAAGTCACGGCTGCGCAACAAAAGTGGCGCAATGGCCTCACCCCTTCGACTAGCCATTATCTCCTCTAAACCTCATCGCAGTCCTATATCTTATTTTGTATTACATTTTGTATATAAAGGCGTATATAATTAACATTTTTTCGCTCATTTTAAGTACACCTATAACTAGCTACAGTCGTGTCCTTTGTTTGTGGACAAACATTGGAACACTTGTTTGAGCCACTGTATCTCCCTAAAGAACTGACGAGCTCATGATAATCTTTGTTGAGGTAAAACTCCGTGGTTCTAAATTACAGGAAGAGAGAAGAATAGGAAGCCGGGATGGAGAGCTACCTGATCAGCAACTTGTCCTCTCAACCCTTCTCGTCACCAACAAGCCTCGTAATCCATCATTAAATAGTCTTCGTTCTTGACCCTCCCCTATCTAATTACGATGTGGACGGTGCTGGAGCTGAGGTAGTCGCGGTTGGTTTGTGCTTCCAAGGTCCCTCATTGCTGCTTGCACACCCACCGTCACACATACAAACGCCCAAATACTCGGCAGGTAAATTCTCTACAGGAATTTGCTGCTTGAGCGCAGGTGCCCATTCCGACTGTCCACTAAAGATCTTGATCTTTGCGACAGTAACGGGATCGAGGAATTTGGAAACTATACCCCAGATAGTTCCAAATAGCCAGGGTGCATTGATGATGTAGAACTTGCCCATGGTCTCTGGGTAATAGTCTTGGCCGATTTTACTTGCTTGAGCGACGTAGCCCTGAACTTTGTAGAAACCCCCAACTCCAACACCCTTGAGATCAAGAATCGTGCAGCTCGTTTCTACAGGGTGACCAACTTCCTCACTGGCAGCTGGTAATCGTTCGGAAAGGAAACGCTCATACTCCAGCACCAGCATCTTTAACACTCTTTCTTGCTCGTGCTTTTGGAAAATGGTGTTAATATTTGCAGACAATTGGCTGAGCGATTCGACGTAGACAGGTCGTCCGTCCTAGTTGGGACCACTCCAAGTCAACGGAAGGCAATAACGAATGTAGTGTTGACATACCTTGTCTATCTTGTGATAGTATTGAGGATAGAGCTTGTTCACCTCCTTCTTTTCTTCGTCCAGAGATTCGGGATGACTATGAGAGATAAAGACAATGAATGTCAGCGAATCATGATATTCATGAACGGCAGGACCTCAGGTGTGCCACTCCGATGGTCGAGCGGTATCGACCTCGATGAACACGATAGAGAAGGAGGATTGCTCACTTGACAATTTCATCCACACCGAAATCCTTCCTCCATTGCTCAGCAGCATAGATCATCTGCTTCGCCAAGTCGAGATTAAACTTCCTCGCACGCAAGAACCTCAACAAATACGCGTCGGTGTGTCGTTGGGCGTTCCAGGGAAAGTTCGGATCGGAAGATAGAGCCTTTCGGAACTGCTCGAGAGTTTGTTGCTGCTCAGGTGTAAGGTTTCCCAGATGACCTGGAGGTGGTGCCCAAGCTGTTGTTTGCGATGTTGCTTGTTGAGACATGTTTGTACGATTTCAGATTATAGATGATTATTGTGTTTGTTGTAGCAGTTGTCGTGTGTAGATGGGTCAGGCGAGAAAGGTTGGGTGGCGACTAAAGTGGAAATGACACCTTGCTCCATTTGACGCTGGCCACCGCCGCAGCGACATTGCCGCCATTGGCGAGGAAAGAATTCGAAGTAAAAATCAAGATATAATCGCGGTTAAAACCCAGAAGATGTAGAAATAGGATATACTATAAGGATACAGCAAAGTTACGGGATCGCGAGGAGAAATTTCTCTAAAGACTGCAAGCTAAAGACCCGATTTCTACTGTTAAATAAGGACCTAAATGATCTAAATAACATGTCAGGTTGAGGTCAAGTCATGTGCGAGTAGAATACTGACCGATGATATTGGTTGCAAGTAGGTTATTACCTGCTGAGCAGTTCTATAGGGGAACAGACCATGGTGAGTTTATACATTGGAGATGATATTTTAACTCACTTCATTTTCGCGACCAGGACAGAATACCGCAGTGGAACCATCCCTGAATGTCGCATTCTTTGCCGTGAACGAATCGAAGACTTCCCCACCGGGATGAGTATAGTCGAGAAAACCGAATGGAGGTATGGTAGGAATCGGATCACGATTTAGGTTCATACGAAGAAACTTGTTTCCTATCATGGAGTCGACGAAATTGCTACAAGGGAAACGCTTTGTTAGCTCACCCCAAAATCGACGAGATTTACTCACGCCCAAACAGAATTACCGGCCCTCGGTAATCCAAACACTTGTGTAGTGACTTCGACTTGTGGTCCAAGAAGCTGGGTGAGGTAAATCCCATTCATAACACTGATCGCCGCCCCAAGTGAATGGCCCGTTACGAGTAACTTGGACGAATTGAATGTCGACAATCCATACTGAACTTGTGTGCTAACGTCGTCCACCGTTCGGAGGAATGCTTTCTGGAAGCCACCGTGGACCATCGTATTCGGCGGCGCATTGGTGAAGAAGGTGGTGTTTAGTGGGTCTTGTCCAAAGTCGGCATCGACGGAGAGGGAGAGAATTTGAGTCGGGTCTGTGCCCTGTTGGGCAAGTACTACCGACTCGATAGACGGGTCGTATGCGACATAGACTGATGAGAGTCAGACGATGCTCTAAGGTATGTACGGGCACAACTTACAGTTTGGAGTGAGCTGATTATCTCCTCCAGTGAAAAATACAGTGATGTTGCCAAGGGCGTCACAGGTCGGCCCGCATTGCCAATCTTGGACGGCCTTGGAGGAGCAGTAGGCGGCGTTGGTGAATTCCGCGCTTCTGCGCAGTTGAAGCATCACATCTGGGATGCCGATGATTTCTGTTGCATTGTATAGAGGAACGGGAGGTTCGATGTTTGTGGTGTTGGAGGTGACATTGGTAGGAGAGTCTCTTGGAAGGATGGGAGCCGCGGTAACGAGAGTGATAAAATGAGTGAGTGTATATAAAAGACTAAATGTGATCATGGTTGTGGATATCGTGAAAGGACGTTAGTGCATAAATTTGCCAAGCTGCTGGAGAATGGACCAGGCCTGCCTGGATCTAACGAAAGGAAAAAGGAGCGTGAAAGTTGATGAGGCTCTCACTCAAAATCACGGTCAAATTTATATCTCGCACTCAGGGAACGGTCTATGCGCATGATTTCAGCAATTACCGTTGTATTCATCGTAGCTGCGTCTTCAAGAAACAAAGGGTTGATATTTCCTTGCATTCCACCTGAATTGGTCGATGTACCCTGCTGTACAATGGCTTCCATTCTTTACCGCCAGAAGCCGCGATCGGACTGGCCGTACAGGGTGATAGCGGCTTTGGCTATGCCAAAACGTCCCATGGCAAATGTAAACAAACGTGAGGCTATTGTTCTATTTAGGTCAACCGTAAAGGTTGCCAGGATACAATAGCCAGGAAGACGAGGAGAGAACCAAGTGCATAACCACCCGCAACCACGGCCACTCGAGTCCCTCATGTGAAATTTAAAACAAGATAGGATACAAAAGGATCACCTATAACCGAATGTCTATTTCAGGCTCTAAAAGCGACAGTTGCGGGCCGATAGAAGAAGAGTCGACGCGCCGCTGGTCACCACATGCGCCGAACCCTAGCCTTCGGGAGGACTTCTAACTCGGGGAACCGTCGTATGTTGAAGGTAAACTAGAATGAATTCTATGTAAATATCTATCTAGATGGTCATGAACAAGACATTAAGGAAAGAAACAACGAGAAATACGGTAAATCCGACCACAAAGAAACGGAATGAACACGGAAAAAGAAATGGAAAAAAAATCATCAAGCATCAAAATATGGGCATCATATAACGTGTCGTCGCATCAAACCATCAGATTGGATTGTTCCGGTCATGAAGTTTTGAACGCGCCGAACTTCTTCTCGAACAAGTCCAACTCCTTCCTCATCTCTGTTAGGGAGTCCCTATACTCTTCAACTTCTGACTCCTCCAAGTCTCCATTCTCGCAACTCCGCTCCGCCAACTCGACTACCACTTCCACTGTCTTGACCGCTTCCTCATTTTGGCCCAGTCCTTCCAAGCTGACAGCAATAGAATAAAGACTGGCAATCGTGTGCGTATGTGCATCACCAAGTACGTCCTTTCTCGCAGCATGGACCTCCTTGAGCAAAGCTAACGAAGTCGAATATCGGCCAATCGACTGCAAGGTGACGGCGTGATTGTGAATCGTCTGTAGAGTGGTAGGGTGCTTGGGACCAAGAACACTTTTTTGTAACTCAATAGCCTTGACCTCCATAGCGAGCCCTTCTGTCTCCATACCAGAGGACCAAATGACACCAGCAAGACTCACAAACGCCGCAATCGTCTTTTCATCCGACTCGCCGTACTTGGCCGTGAGCTTTTCGACGATCTGCTCGTGGACCTCGCGCGCTTGGACCAGCTCACCGAGCTGAACGAGGATGACGCCAGTGGCTTGTAGAGCTTCAACGACCTTTCCACATTCGGCTCCTAGCATTTCTTGGTACCCTGTAACTACTTCTTCTAGTAAGGTTCTGGCTTGTGGGAACTGACTAGAGGCGCCAAGGCAGCTTGCTAGGTCAAAGGTCGATCGTAACGTTTGCGGGTGTTGCGGCCCTAGTGTCTTCTTCAACGTCTCGACGACCCTTCCTCGAACTTCAGTGGCCGATGGTACTTCGCCAATGGACTGCATAAATTGCGCATACTGCTCCATAATCCGTATACGATCTGGGTGGCTTTCGCTTAGGGAGGTAGAGTAGAGGTTTGTGAGGCGTTGGTAGACAGCTTCTGCCTCATCGAGTTCTTCCAACTCTACGAGGAACAGTGCTTGATTGGCCATGGCCAGGAACAGGTCACCATGACGCTTCTCTCGTGCCTCTTCTAGGCGTTGGCTAAGGGTAGCTTGCATATCCGAAGCGTCGTCCTCTCTTCCCACCTTATCGAAGAGCAATATAAGGTGAGACAAGCAGAGCAACGTCCGCGGGTGACCTTCTCCCAATTCGCCAATGCACTCGTCGACCACGACTTCAAACATAGCCACCATATCTTCCAAATTATCCAACGACTCGTTGACGGTTGACAAGTCAAACAAGCTTCGGATCGTCTTTTCGTGGGTCCGGCCAAGCTCGTCCTTTCGGAACCGGTAGACTTCGTCCAAGTGCATTTGTGCCTCCTTTTGTTCGGTAGCGTCCAGCTCACGTAGCATCAACCCAAGTACACGCTTCACTTCCATCCTCTCGTGAACGTCCGTGTGCTCGGTTATCATACTAGTCAGCCGGAGGTACTCTCGCCCATGGTCGATCGCATCCGTCCACCGCCCAATGACAAAGAGCATCATCATGAGCAAGCGAAGGGACTCTAGCGTTTCGGGATCCGCTTTGCCAAAAATGTCTCGTCGATTGTGGTAGATGGCCGAAGCCAGTTGTCGAATATCGTTAAGTGTTTGTGGTGCCAAATGATGGGGGACGTAAATCTCGTGTAGCACAGGAGCAGCAATCTCCCGACAGAAATCGTCCATCTTGGCCATGAGCGCGACCACGTCCAAATCGTCACCTTCTCTCGCCGTATCGCTATCCGAAACATCCTCTGCGACCTCTGTTCGATTGTCTTGAGAGTCGATGAGGAGTTCGAGTGCCTCCAAGTAACTCGCCACAGCTCCGTTCAAATCGCCCACCCTCCGCATCCCCTCCGCTAAGGAAATATACCCTCTAACAACCTCCTCCGGTGACTCGAGTCCATCTTCATCATTTCTCTCGTTTACGCCAAACCTCCTCATATCACCCTCCCCGTCCCCGAGGATGCCCTGCAACTCCATGCCGGCATCCCTCCATTCTCCAACAGGAAGGGATAGTCATAAGTCGGGGCCCGTGGCAGGCACGGCAGGGTGATAGACGTTGGACGTGGTCTGGGCGTATTCGCCACCGACCACCGGTTTCTTTTCATCTCCGTAGACGACGGGCTTGTGGTCAACCTGAGCATCATCCGAGAAGGGATCCTTTTCATACGGAGGAGCAGCCTCGGAAGAATAGGATGCGTCTTCCTCCTTGGGGGTCGCAGAGGGAGGCATCTTGTCGGCGACAACACCACCCTCTTCATCATCACTCCCCATAGCGGTAGTGGCCTCTTCGTAATGGGTAGACGCTTCATCGTGTTCTTCACCTTCATCACGCTCCGAGAAGCGATATGACGCGGCAGATGGAGAAGTCGGGTCTTCTTCCAAGATGGTCTCGTGCACGGCTTCTTTTGCATCCTCGAGGTTTTCATCACCCTTCTCTTCGGGTGCCGTCATGCCCGACGCCTTGTAGATATCTGCAATCGATGTGATGGATGCCTTGATGGTCTTGTACTCGGGGTTACCGACGGTGACGAAACGAGAGGGCTGCCTGGGAGGTGGTGTACCGACCGCACCGCCGAACGCTGGGTTGCCCACCGATTTGAACTTGCGCGACGAGCGAAGTTGCACTTCTGGAGCCTTTGGGTTTTCCTCCTTTTTCTCTACGGGAGCGGGCGTCTCTTCTTCGACTGGTTGAGCGTCTGCTTGCTCGTCTTCAGCGGTTGGTTCGGCGGCATCGTCCTGATCTTCAGGTCGCCTTTCCTCGTGCTGCTCCTTTTCGTCGTGTTCTGGTTCATGAGATGGGACATCGGACGTCATTTCTTTGAGTTCAAGCTTTTGTAATTGTTCGTCTAGGCCTGGAGAAGAGTGTTAGATCGCCAGGCAATCGTGTAACAAACATGGGCGGGCGGACCTGTCGGGTGTTCGATCGTCTGCTGGTTCGACAAATCGACCGGAGACGCGTGAGTCGAAGTGCTCATTCCTGTTTGATGTTTGACGAGTTCTACTACGGGCTAAAATTTGGATGAGTTTGCTGGAGATGATACAGGGGACGGAGCGGACGGAGACCAAGTTGGGTGGACGGCTTCTTAGCTGCCAACCTGTCCCTGAATATCAGACAGCCGAACGGACACAAGTCGAATTCAATGTCAAACAAGTTAATAATGGTCTAGACACGTTCACTAAAGAGTATAACTACTCGCGCACGTTGCCTCGTAGTAGATTACAAGAAATTCCAGTCAAAATCCGAGGAAAATTTTGCGCTTCATATGAAGATGAATTGGTCAGTATTTAGCCGTCAAATGACCATCATACACTAGAGGGGGTATGTAGTTTTGAATTTCAGTGTCCTAGTAAGTAGCAGAATTAATGTCAAGTCCTCCATCTGCTACGCGCTATATCTTGGTACCTACGACTATACTTTTCATTTTACATAAACTATATGTAAGGTCATCTCTGGTCATTGTTGGTTTGATAATAAGGCGATTCACTTTGGGTGCCCGCCTAACGAACGTCCTTGAAGCATAGTTTTGTATTACAAGATGGTTTAGAGATCTCCTGAAAGAATTCTCTACATTGATATGGAGATATACAATGTAAAAAGCCGCGCGGTTGGATTCACTATGAATTAGTCATGGGTGGCGCACCGTATCTCAGCGTTCACTCATAGATATCGAAACACCTCGACTTTTCCAACCTAAAATTCAGAAACATAACATTTGTACAACCCTGCAATACGATGTGGTCTGAGCATAGGGATAGTGACTACTTATCCACTGTCGGATTCAAGAATACGACTTCCTCTCCTGCAGTGATGCGAATTGAGCCCACTTGAGTATAGACCTTAGGGTAATCCTTCAGCATCTTTGCGTGCTCTGGATCTCTGCTGAATCCCTCTGCGGCCTCAACTGACGGGAAGACGACGGTTGCGATTCCATCGTAATCCAACGTCCGGGATTTGTCTTCAAACAACGCTTGACTGATTGCACTTTGATTTTCCTTGCTAGGATACGTCTAGTATCGTCGTAAGAATAACGACACGAATGGTAAGCCGACAGTGAAACGAGCGCAGTGCGTACCTGA